TTTTGTAATGCTGCAATGCCCTTCAATGTATCCCCATTATTCCCGTTGAGAGAATCTATGAGCTGTTTTGAGTCAGATTCAACAATGACTGCATCATAGCTCTGTTCCACAGCAGCCCTGCACGCTCGGCTGACTGCATAAGCCTCTGTCATTAAGGCAGAAGCTCCCACCACAATTTCAGCCTCCGCCATGAGCACTCTATCTTCACAATCTCAAACTATGATAGCATAAGCTCCTTCCTTTGTCCTTTCCATCCAAGCTCCATCGCAATTAATCTTCAACACCCTTTGAGGAGGTAATTGCCAGGCCATTTCAGGCTCACCAGAGAAGTTCTCACTCTTTATAGGTACAACCTTGCAATTGTTCAATTCGTTTGCTGTTATTACAACATTTGTGATAACAGGTTTACTGCATGGCTGTTTATGGTTGAAAACCCAATCATTCCTGGACTTCCATGTGAACCAACATAGGTATATTAGTAGAGTTTGGCCCTCGTGTTCTCCTTCACCACACCCCTTGCTGGTTTGTAGCTGCCTAATAAACCAATTTTCAAATCTACTTATGCCATACCTGTCTACCTTAATGTTTAAAAGGCAATTCCTCCACATCATTTGCACCCATGGACAAAGTAATAGCAAGTGTTCGGTGGCCTCTTTTTCCTCTCCACATATGGGGCAAGTTGGTGAATTTGACAGCTTTCTCCTTCATAGCTCCCATTTAGTTGTCAATCCTCCATTTGCAACTTTCCACATAAATGCTTGTATTTTGGGGTGAACCTTACTTTTCCAAATACTCTTACATAGCCCTTCTGGAGTTTGATAAGATGAGGAGGCAGTGTCTCTGGCCTGAGGAGCTTGAGCTCTTTGTGCTTGCATATGATGCTCACTTTTAACAGTATATACTCCATTGCTTGTAAACTCCCATTTTATTTCATCAACCTAGGGTGTTTCACTAAGAGGGATAGCCAATATCTCTTGGGCTATATCTGGTGGAAAATTAATTTGCACCTCCTCAACCTTCCATCTTCTAGTTGTTGGGTTGATAAGTTGTTGGACTAATTGTATGCGTCTTGTTGAAAGTTGGGAATAGCTTTGTGCCCAGGAATCCACACATCCTCCCAACACTTAACTTGACTGCCATCTCCTATCTACCATATATGTCCTTCTCTAATCAACTCCCTCCCATCCAGCAGACCCACGAGCTTGATTTCTTGGAGGACACTGTCCAAAAAGATTGGTTAGGAAAGTACTTTGCCTTTAAGATTTTAGCCCAAAGAACCTCTGGATTATTCATGAGTCTCCAAGCTTGCTTCGCTAACATTGCAACATTGGACTGTTCAAGGCAATATTATCATAACCGGACCGGCCATATAATAATAAAAAATATATAATAATTATAAAATATAATAATTTAACTAAAAAAAATATAAAATATGTGCAAAATACATTGATTTTGTAGTCACACTGTCTCAGACCCAAAAATGTGCAAAATCATCAAACAATGTGCAAAATCAACCAACAATGTGCAGAATTATACAACAAATAATTAAACAAACATCACATATTATACTAAAAAATTAAAAATGTAGTCACATTGTCACAGACTCACAATCAAAAACACAAACGCAAACACAAACCTGGTTAGATCATATTATGCCCAAAAACACAAACCATAATTTTATTGTATAAGATTTGAAGAAAGTTTTTACCTTAAAGGGTNCAAGTTGAGTCTTTCAAATTTATTGTCTTCCTCAAAATAAAAAGTATTCTCTAGCTTGAAAGTTGTGATATGAGCTCTAGTTAAAGCAAAAGAAATGCAATTCTAAATCCACACAATACCTCAATTTCGATAAAACTCAACAAACTTTAATTGAAACATAATTTCAACATATTATACCTATAAAAAATGGGTACACAATAAATTCATACCGATAAAAAAAAAAGATTGGTGGAGCATACAATATTTCTCTTAGGCATTCCAACAAACACTTGATATCCATTATGGTTGACAACAAATCAACACCTAACTAACAACTTTTGTGTGTGCGATTTCAATTTGTGGGTATGTGTAATTGTGTGTGTTGGGTGTGCGTGCTAGGCGTGTATGTGTGTGTTGTACTACGACTAGGGGTTTGTGCGTGTGCGAAGTGTGGGGGTGTGTGTTATGGGTGGATGAGTGCGATATTGTGCGAGTGTGTACATTTTTCGTAATTTATGAAAAATAGGGGTTAAGGAGGGAATTTTGGGTGTGTCGTGTTTGTGTATGGTGTGTTGTGTGATGAAAACAGAGAGAGGCATATGAAGAGGGCAAGAGAATGAGAGAGAGAAATCACCACCAAACTCGAACTTAAAAGGAAAAAGAAATTTATTACTAAATATTTTTCTATGGCATTTCAACAAACACTTCATGTGCCATGGATTGGAGCTATGGGAAAGGGGTATGGTCATGCTGGTAACCGAAGATGGAAGAGAAAGAAGGGAAAAGAGAAAGAGAGAGAGAGAGAGAGATACCTGGAGAGTGAGAATCGTCGTTGCTCGTGGCGTGAGAGTGAGAGTGAAACAGAGCTGTGGTGGGTTGCTGTTTGGACAAACAAAGAAGAGAGAAAGATAGATCAGAGAGAGGGGTTAACGGTTAGGTAAGAAGGGAGGAGAGAGAAGGGAGTGAAATTTTGGGAAAAGTGCTTGACAGAGATGGATTTGAGGGAAACGTATAGGGGAGAAATGAATTTGAAATGGTGTTTGCGGGTGAGAAATGATGAATTTGGGGGGAAAGAATAGGTTATTGGTGGCCNATTTGAGGGAAACATATAGGGGAGAAATGAATTTGAAATGGTGTTTGCGGGTGAGAAATGATGAATTTGGGGGGAAAGAATAGGTTATTGGTGGCCTTTGGATGAAATGAATTGTGACCATTCGATCGGCTTGTTGAAGCCCGCTGTGATTTATATTATAGATTGTTTTGGATCTCATTCTCTTTAATGATTTCATTTTTTCTAGTGCAGGTATCCCCCCCTCTCTCTGTCTTCTCACTCATTTCCACACCAGCCAAAAACCCCATATCTAGCATCTCCCTCGCACCGTTTCTCTCTTCACTTCACACAAATTAAATCTATCACACATTTTTTTTTGAATTGGTTTTTATGATTAATTGTTTGTATTTTTGGTTGATTTTGATGATTTTGGTTTTCTCTGTAAATATGTGTTATAGATTTGAAATTTTTGGTGTTAAATCATTGAGTCACCACAATGGCCATTGATTCCAGCAGCCACTGCCATCGACGCCAGCCAGGTCTCTCTCTCTCTCTCCACCGTAAAACCAACACAATACAACCCCGCAATAGCCACCAACACACCCCCACATCTACTTGCATCCACCACCACCCCACAGCCCACATGAAAGAGAAATCTTAGCATGTTCAATGATTTCCTTGCTAGTGGCTGCGGTTTTGCCTTTCCTCTTCCTCAATTCAGCTTTTGCATTAATAGAATATTTCTTTGATTCTCAAATATACACGTTTATAAAACATGATGGAAGTTGAATCTTTTACCCAACATATTTTCCCCCCAAAATCATCTCATACAACCTAACCTAACCTAACCCAACCATCACATCCAACCCAACCCATCCCAACGGCTCCCTGGCAACACAGGATGGAAGTTCAATCTTATAACCAACATATTTTTCCCCTCAAAACCATCCCATTAAATTGTTGGTTGCTTAACCTTTTTGGTGTTTTGATTCATTTGATGTTATAGCAATGTGCCTGGCTTTGGAATGAGGGTTCTAGGGATGTGTATGTTATCTTTTGTTATGGTAATTGATTATGTCGATCAAATCTATTTTTTTCTTTAAAAGGTACTTAGGGAAGAGGATTGTTTTCGGTTTATGTTGTATGGTGTTGTTCTGGGATTTTTGTAGTCTGAGAATGTGGTTGTAGTTTTATTATATTTGTTCTCTAATCAGATGTCCTTCAGGTGAGACCTACACAATTCGGTTGTAAAAGTTCTTCATAGAGTTATCCATCCTTTTCTATGGTCTTTCTGTTCAGTGTGTTTGAAATTCAATGCATAGTGTTAGCTTTGCTTTCCTATTGAAACTGTGTGGGAAGGCTATTGATTTAGGGCTGGGACTTTTTGATAATATTATTGCAAGAAGGTTACTGCCTTCCAAATATTGGTGTTTGAAAATTTTATCATATGGTTGCTCTTGGTTTCAAATGCCAGGTAATCCCTCCATTCATTCACACAAATTTGGTTGCAATGTCGTTAGTAAGTTGGTTCTTTAGGTTGTTGTTGATGGCTCAATCTGGTTCTTTAGGTTCTAAAAGAAAAGAAACAAAATTTGGTTCTTTAGGTTGTTGCTGGTTGCAATATATTTGAATTAATTGGAACTATAGGTTGTTGCTGATGTCTTTCTCTCTGTCAAGGACGTTTTTACTGACTGTTTACTCATGGCAATAGATCGAGCTTCACATCCTTTTATCATAGGAAATCATTTTGGGAAACATTTGCTCCATTTATGTTGTCTAAATACTCTTCTCTGTTTATTTTTCTCTTCATATTCATTTGTAATTTGCGGCTTCGTACAAGAATTTTCAAGGAAATCAGAGAAGAGTACAAGCAGAGAGCTTACCGTTTGTTTCTATTAGAGTCGCGAGACTTGGAAACATTCAGGAAACTGATATATCAACTCCGAGTTTTATTTTTTGGAAAGTATACATACTAGACGATTATCGTGGCTCCATTTTTTGATTACCAAAATTTAGTATTAATTTGGTGTTTATTTGCTTCAATTCAAGTTCTTTCATTTTTCATTTCCTTTGTTATCATAGTTGGCTGCAAGTTAGGCAGCGACAAGGTTTAATTCAAGGTTTAAGTTAGGTAGCGACAAGTTCTCTCTTTTTTGATATATGAATTATTTTCTGTCATAATGTAATGTCTGACAATGCAAATATATTTTTTTTTTTCTGGACAGTGCCACGATTTAAGTGATTTTATTTTATGATAGCTGAAGAATTGTCAGTAGGTATGGAAGCCAACCACCACACACCAAGTGTTATTGCAAGATTAATGGGTCTGGATGAACTGCCAGCATGGCGGGTTGGACTTTGTACATGGAGCTTCTTAAGGATCCATGTATTTTTCTCTCCCTTTGGCCCCCCTGTCATTAATTCCCTCAGTTCGAGTTCAAAGTTTCTTTAATTTCAGAAACCGAAACAAACAATATTGAAGCAGGGGATTTTGATTTGATCATATCTCGGTGTGTTGTGTGTGGATCATAAAGGTGAGAAATGGGGAATTGTCAAACGACGGAGGCAGCGACGGTGGTGATTCAGCATCCAGGCAAAGAAGTGGAGAGGATTTACTGGTCCGTAAGTGCTCTTGAGATCATGGCGAATTGAACTTATTTGAGTGTAATTATTGTATCTGTTTTTGGGTATAATGGCTGAGCTGTGGGTTGAGCTTTTTATTGTTTGTATGTGCCATCTTTGTTAATTCAGATGATAATTGATTTTTATGCTTTTGATTCTGTTTCTCCTGCAAAATTATTTTGCTTTTGTTTTTCACCTTCAAGTGGATGTGGTAGAAATGTTTTAGACCATGGTGTTTCAAGTATGAGTTCCTGTGTAATAAACATGGCTGAAATTTGAATTCATCTGCTATACATCATTTGTTCACTGGCTTAAGAGTTCAGCTTTGAAGCCTATCGATTGAGGGCTTTTATCTATTTGCTATAGCACTTCTCTATTTTGCTTGAATATTACTTCTATGGAATCACACAAATTCCTGTTATTTATTGTTCACTTTTAGTTATACTTCTTCGATGCTTCTTCTTTTTCCCTTCAAAGAATATGGAAATTGATTTAACAGATATCTTCATATTTTCAATGTAGAATGATGGGAATAAATTCTGGTTTCGCACAATCTTCCACTAATGGTTTATTTTCTTAGTGTTTGTTCAGGTTCACTGCTGTCTATGAGTATTTATTTTCATAAGCGTCCTCATTGACTGTTCATCTAAATATGGTAGATTCATTTCTTGCGAAGAGGGAGACTCAAGAAAATAGAGAGGCTTCAAATTTGGAATCAAAATCTTGATCTTGCAGGAGTGATTGTGGTGCTGAGGAAGACTAGGTAAGCGGCTATTTTCTGTTGTGGTTAATTTCGTGAAGCAGCATGTTTTTTCATTGCATTACAAGCCACTCAAGTGGCTGTACCTGCACTGGTGAAAATCTGTGATGGAGTGCTACAAGAAGCATTTCTGTCACCTATATTTAAAATAACTAGAAGATAGCTCTCTTTTCTTATATAAGAATTATTTTCTGTCATAATGTAATGTCTGACAATGCATTAATTCATGATGGAGTGCTACACACACACATCTGTTTTCACTTTTGCTTGGACTGCATTTACAGCCACACACATACAGTCGCTTCAGGGAGTGTTCGCATTTACATCATGTGTCTGCATATTTTATAATTGGATGCATAAATGGTTAAGACAAAAAAGAAGAGTATGTCTGTCTCCTTGCCTCTATTTGTTTGGTTTTGCTCTTCGTTCAAATGCCCACAAGCTGTTCTATCAAATGCCTGACATACATTCTCTGTCAAAGGCACCCTCTGAATCACAACCACACCTGTTCTAACCATTTTGTGGTCTTTGGCTTTCACTGGTACAGTGGGATTATGTGTCATCTCTTCGGTGTTTTTGCGGGCTATATCGAGAGCAACTATTGTAGTAGGCTCTGGCTCATGGTATGAGAATCTTTTGTCCAATTTCAAGAAAAATATAGAGGAAAACATGTTATGGTGATGCGATTTAGTTGGTGTTATGACAATACTGTTTTGTCTGGACTTAGAGGGCTCATTTTATACTTTTGGTTATATATGCAGGAGCCTTTCTTTTGGATTTTTACATCTTTGATACTTTATCTTTATAGTTTTTTTTTCCGTCATTGGATCCCACCAAATGGCTTGCAGTACTACCCTTTTCCCACAAGAAAGACTGTTCATGGATCATATTGATCGATGTTTAGAGATACTGGAGGCAAATAAATGCTCCCAAGCTTGTCATTCAGTTTATCAATAAAGGAAAGGTGTGTGGGATACCCCAACTCTCTTTCGATGTGGGATTGCCTTTAGAAAGGGTCCTATTGGAGAAGAGAGGTAAGGGCTAATGGGGCTCGGTGCCCCCAGGTCAACCGAAATCCTTCGAGTGGAGGGCTAAAATCCCGTAGCGATTTCTACCCCTTACACCAACAACGTGTAGTAGATTTATATTTTAAATTTTAAATTTCTGATGCATATTAGGGAGTATTTTTTTATGCATCATAAATTTAAAATTTAAATTTCCAATGCACATTAGGGAGTATTTTTTTATGCATCGGAAATTTAAAATTTATATGAACAAAAATATAATAAGATATTTTATATGAACAAAAATAGTAAAAAAATAAATTGTTTTTTTATGCATATCTAATGATTTTTTTTTTTTTTGTCAAACTTGTGCTAGACAATTTTTTTTTATCATAGAATTCATTATGATGACATATTAGGATTTTTCTGTAAGAGAGTCTATCTCTATAAACTTTATTCAGTGAACAAACAATGGGAATTGGGAGTGAGCTGGAATGATAAAATTATTTTGTTCACTTTCATTTGCATAAAATAAAGAAATGTAGAGAGAATATTGTCATAGAAAGAGTAAGATAATATTTTACTAAATCTTGGTGGGTGGACCATGAAATATTACACAATTCGTTAATACAACACAAACATGACACGACACGAAATTAATATGTTTGAGTTTTCTTTAAGCCATCATGTTTAGCAATCGAGTGGACTTAACATTACACGATTAATAAACGAATCGGATTCGAGTGAAGTCAATCAAAAGAAAAATATAATAAGACTTGTTTATATATCGGTTATACACAGTTCATATAAGACATGAACCCGCTATGACATGATTCATTAGATTTGAATTAATAAACGAATCGGGTATAAATAAAATATTTTGCGACACAAACCTGTTAACACTCGACATGAACCTATTTCACCCACACGATTAACAGGCTTTGATGGTGTTCTTATCACAAATGAGCCATGCAGTAGATTAAAAGTACACTGAATGATGAGGTTTGATTCAATCTGAGCTTCAAGGCTCTAAGGAATTTTTGGAAAATGGGGGGAGGGGGAAGGGATCACACAGAGTGTTTATAATGGTTCACCAGCTCGCGAACTCGGCTAATCCACTTTTAAGGGAGTCTCTTGCTCCTAGAAACTGTTATTGAAGATGATGAGATTACATAGTATTCTTGACACTCTTTTTATTGCTTGCCTTGAAGTGAGGACATTGTACAGTATTTATATCCTAGTCCCTAATTCTAAGGGGTCTGTGGTGAGATCTTTGCCTTCCTCTCATAACATCTTACTTGATTCCGGGCGATGGTTTAGGCGGTTGAGGATCTGGCGCCTAGATTGGCGATTACTGTCGTTGAGGGGGAGCGTTGTGGTTGCTAGTTGTCTTCCATTCATCTTCTTCGGGTGCAGGTCAAGGGAGCCCCATGTTTCGACCTCTGAGTTCAGGCTCTCTTGGCTGAACTCCCTTCTTGACCTCAACTCCTGAGTTCAATCTTGAAATTTCTTCTAGTTATTATCAAGCTTCATCACATATATCGAATCTATATACTTATTATAAATATATTAGAGACCAATACTCTTGAGATGATAAAATTCTCTTTTACAGGATATATAGTTGGGGTTTCAAAAAAGGGAATTTTTGAAGTCTGTATACAAATTTAAACTTAATTGAGTTAAACTAAGGTAACAAAACTTATTTGGTCCTAACTGTTTTTTTTGAAAAAAAGACTAAAATGTCATTTTTACTCCATTACTCTTTCATTGTCTCTTTCTTATTTTCTCTCTATCAATTTATCTCTCACATTGATAATTTATTTTTTTTGAAATATGTAAAGATTTGATTTAATTTTTCATTTATCTCCCCTTATTTTTCTCTCACTTTCACTCTCTCTCCTATTTTTTCTCTCCTTATGATGACATATTAGGGTTTTTCTGTAAGAGGGAATATCTCTATAACTTTATTCAGTGAACGAAGAATTGGAATTGAGACTAAGGTGGAATGGTAAAATTATTTTGTTAACTTTCCCTTGCATATTTTAAAGAAAGAGTTGAAGTGGTTGACAAATTTTACTATAGATAGAATATTGTTATAGCAATAGTAAGATAATATTTTACTAAATCTTGGTGGGTGGACCACAAGTAAGAGTGTTAAAATATGACATAATTTATTAACATGACAAGACACAAAATTAGTATATTTAGATCTTTCTTAACCCACCCCTATTTGTAATAGAGTGTACTTAACACGATAATTAATAAACGAATTAGATATGAGTGAAACCAATAAAAAATAATACACAATAAGATTCATTTATATATCAGTTGTACACAATTAATACATGGCATAAATCTGATATGACACGATTCTTTTAATAAATGAATCGGATATACATAAAGCATTTTTTGACATGATCCTATTAACACTCAGCACAATTGACAAACCTAACCATATGGATCGAATATATATACTTACTAGTCATTGCTCGTGCCTGAAGGTATTATGTTACTTATAAAATTTAAACATACAAAAATAGGATGTTTGAATAATTTCAACACATAACAATTAGATTGATTTTGAATATTTTTTGTTGGTACAATTGATATCTTATTTTTTTTGTATTAGTAACTAATTTTTTTTTTAATTACTGATTAACTTGGGCTTTGATTTTTTTTTTAATTTTATGAGAACTATAGGTTTTCATATAATAGTGATTTATTTTTGGTCTGAATAATAACTTGATGATTTTATTTATGGATTATAAATACAATTTAAACTTTATTGATTGATAAAAAGTAAGAAATAAACATCAACCATCGGTACTAAGATGCGTGATAAGAAGATCTATTTACAGTGTACTCTAGGTGTGAATCAGTTTGTAAGAAAAAGGATGAAAAATTATATAATAAGTATATAATGGTTTTTAATGAAAGATTATACCAAAGGTTTTGAAAAAATCGATATACTAAATAACTTACATATCCAAAAATTGTGACATTGTCTATTTGGGTACTGATTTTTGTGTTGCAGTGACGGTGTGTATGCGGTTATTAGGGTCAAATGTTAAATTGTCAAACTTTGAAAAAGAAGCACTAAACTTATAGATATTATGTATTTTATGTGTATTTAATAGAAATATTTTTAATTTTATGCAAAGTTTTATCATAAAATTAAAAATTAAACAAAACCAACATAAATCAATGTACAAACAATACACTATTAACATATAATATTTAGATCATTTAATTTAAAATGAATTCAATTTAAGTTGTTATTGTGTTTTTTTCAAATTTAAGACAGAGACGTATGAGAGATAGGATTGTAGAGTCTTATGATAAGAGGTTTTTTCATGGGCAGGAAAAGAAATTCAGGACTAATTATAGACTGTTAGATCAAAATTTTTGAGATGATCTGAATCGTCTTTTATGTTGGGATTACGTTGTCCGTTGGACGTGTTTATATTTTGTTTTAAAATGATCTAGACCTCTCTTTATCTTTTGGATATAAACTTCATTCTACTTTATTATAGATTGTTGGACCATAAGTGTAAAAATTAAATTTTTGGCCGACTTTAAGCCTAAATTAAAGTGGGACCCGTTTGTTGTTTCGAGTAAATTTTTTGAGTTCATATTCTACTCCGTGAGGAGAATAATGTAATATATTCACTTGCTCAAATCGAGTAACAAATGAATGAGAAAATAGGCTCTAAAATGACCTTATTGAATTGTGGAAATAAAGGAAGTCCAATGTGAGATTTGACATCAATCCCACATTGGTTGAGGAAGAAATTCTACATGGGCATATATAGGGTAAGTTTGCTCTATGGGATTGAGTCCCAAGGGATACCACAGTTTTATGAGAAGAGCAAGCTCCTTTATACCTTTGATTCGACCACACACGCTCAATTACCAGTCCTACATATAAATATGAACCAAAATAATGAATTCTGAATTTCAAGGCATTAACATATGGAAAATGATAGGAGTTGCCAATTGCTAT